GTATACCTGTCATTATTACTAACACAGTCTCGGCACCTCGTAGGTGCTGCGCAGCAGGCACGTCACCACCTGCCCCAACTCATATTCAGTCACTCCAGGCTGATAGGATGCTTCTTCAATCCCGCGTCGCAGGTATACCATGTAAGCCATAGCCTAAGCTCCTTAAGAAGGGTTATATAGAGGATTATATGGGGTACTACTATGGGAATTATTCGGGGGGATGCAGGTATACCTTAGGACCTAGGAGGACCCGCCACACTGTAAAAGTGGTGTAAGAAGAATATAGTAGGCACTGAAATAAAAAGCCTTGTTCTCGCTTATAGTCACTATTACAGGTTGGGGGTGGTCCACCAGAGGTATATCATGTGCCTTGCTGATTGGAGAAGGCGATGGTCCCGCTGCCAGATACTTCACCTGAGTCATGCCCTCCCATGCCCAACTGGCCCGATCATGTGTCTGCTGATTGCCAGTTGCATTTTAACTACTTGGAGGCCCATGGGACTTAGTAACTACTTATAACTGGGATTATAACCCTACCTATAATTGGGGCAACTCCATTTAGGGGGATTATAAGTAGGGTTATAAGCCCAGTTATAAGTCAAGTAGTTACTAAGTCCCATGGGCCTCCAAGTAATCTTGCACAACGGCGCAACTCCGGCTCACTGCATTTTGAGCACGCTGTAAGGGTCAAAGTCTTTGCAAGTCACACACAGAAAGCTGCGAGCAGCATGTTGGTCGCTTTAAAAATTCCAGCGTGAGTGCTGAGCAGGCATGCTGCAAAGTGATAGTCAACACCATCAGCTAATGCTACCACTCTTGCACATGCAAGCACCTACCTGTAGCTGGGAATGTGTGGCCTGAAGGCCCTGCTTTCGACCGGCCATATCAATTGCGAAAATCCTCCTCCAAGCGACGGAGCAGATCCACAAGACTGACCTCGCAAGCCTGCGCTGCACGAAAGCCAAGCCCGCCATCGAAGACCGTGAGAGCTCGAAGGATGTCTGTGCGGGACATGTTCTTTACCTGCTGTCTGTCCACAGAGTGAAGGACATCACCCGGAGAGATTGGCCTTTGGAAATGCTTCTGGACACTGGGCTTGACATCCCGTACCACAGGAGGAGATGTCCACGCCAGCAAGATTCCACCAATCCAGTTGCAACCTTTCTCAGACTGCTCGTCCTCCTGAGGCCCTTCCTTCAGTGCTTCTTGCGCTGACCTGCGCACGTCCGCATCCATGTCGTTGCCGCTTCTGAAACCAAGGCTACCCTTGAAGTCTTGGAGAAGACGAAGGATTTCCAGCCGGCTGAGGCCTTGCACATGTTTGCCGTCAATCTGCCGCAAGACATCCCCGGGCGAGATGGGCTTTGGGAAATGCTGTTGTACTTCTGGCTTGGCATCACGGACCACTGGCGGAGAAGTCCATGCCAGCAAGATGCCTCCAATCCAATCGCAACCCTTTCCCGACTCTTCGTCGGACTGCGGCCCTTCCTTCAATGCTTTTTGCGCTGACCTGCGCACATCAGCATCCATGTCGCAGCCTGACCTGAAGCAAAGGCTGCCATTATGCTTTTGCAGCAGCTTCAAAATCTCTGTGCGACTCAGGTCTTGCACCTTCTTTCCATCAATCATATGCAACACATCGCCAGGAGAGATGCCTCTCTGGAAATGTTGCTGCACCTCTGGCTTGGCATCGCGAACCACAGGGGGAGAAGTCCATGCCAGCAAGATGCCTCCGATCCAGTCACAGCCCTTTCCCGACTCTGCGTCAGGCTGCGGCCCACTCTTCAGTGCTTCCTCAGCCGACTTGCGGTAAACATCGTCCCTGTTGCAACCCTTGAAGCCAATGCTGCCCTTGTACTTCCGGAGAAGCTGGAGGACTTCTGCCCGACTCTTCTTGCTGACATGCTTGCCGTCAACTTGATGCAGAACATCTCCTGGAGTGATTGGGGTTGGGAAGTGCACCTGAACCTCTGGCTTCACCTCACGGACCACAGGTGGAGATGTCCAAGCAAAGCAGATTCCCCAAATCCAATTCTGGCCCGCAGTGCAATCATCATCCTGCTGAGGACCCATCTGCAAGGCCTCATCTGCTGATTGTCGGATGGCATCTGCATGGCTTGCTCTTTTGAAGCCAACACTTCCCTTGAACTTCTTGAGCAAACCTAGGATGTCACCCCTGCTCAATCCATTCACAGATTTGCCGTCGACCTCGTTCAACAAGTCCCCAGGCTGTATCGGCCTGGGAAAGTGCTCTTGAACGTGATGCTTGACGTCCTGCACCACTGGCGGCGATGTCCAAGAAAGCTGGATGCCACCAATCCAGTTGCACCCTTTCCTGGACTGCGGATGCTTCTGTGGCCCGTCGCGCAAAGCTTCTTGCGCTGACTTGCGAATGGCGGCGGGGAAGCCATCCCCCAATTCTGCAAGCAGCCTGTCAAGAAAAGCCTCCCGCACGTCGCAGCCTGCATCAGACGATGGGCTACTACTGGTCTCTGATGCTGCCGCATCCGAGTCGGAGCTTGCTGTGTCAGTGTCACCGCATGAGGTGCCTGGTTTGCCGAAGAGCTGCTTCTCCAAGCGATGGATCTTCTCGTCAGCTCTGGCACGCTCAGCCCTTGCCAATTCCAGCTGAGCCCGAAGCACTGCATTGTCTGCTTCTTCAGCACGCTTTGCCTTTGACACCTTCTTTCCCTTTTGAGCAAATGCACGTGGCATGGCCAGACAAGGGACGAGAATGTGACTGTTTCCTCGCTCGAGCTGTGCCTGGATAGCTGCACCATTTAACTGGTTGCTGTTAACCCAGACCCCCAAAGGGATCCAAAAATTAGATCCCCTAGAACCATATGGGAACCTATATAAGGATTACTAATGGTTTTTAATGGGTTTATATAGGGGATCTAATATTTAGATCCTCCCAGACGTCTGAGAATCCGGTTCAGCAGGCCACTACTTGTGCAGGACCAGGCCTCTTCCCTTGTCCAGAAATTTCGCCAGCAATAATTAATAGTAATACGCATGAAAAATACAACGGTAATGATACGACCAGTAATAAGGATACTAATAATAATAGTTGTGGTAATAAGCATCTTCATCGTGTTGGGGAGATCAGTCTGGGGTCCCGACAGTGCTGGGCTGGAAAGCATCTCCAGAACGCCTGAATCACTGGACACCCCTAAACCCTAAAACCCTGAACTCAAAACCCTTTTTTGCTACTGGGTTTAGGGTTTAGAATTCAGGTTTTTAGGGTTAAATAACTAAACCCTAAACCCTAAAACCCTAAACCGAAAATCTCAGACCAAGGGCTCTTTGCCTTCAAGATGATCTGCGCCAGGTTGCCAAAACCCAGTCGGCCTGCTTTACTGGGGGGTTAGTAGGGGATGAGGGAATATTTTGTATAGGGATTATATAGTAGGGGTCTTATAGGGATTATTTAGGGATTATATTATATAGGGATTGTATAGGAATTATATAGGGACTATATGATTTGTATAGGGGTTATATAGGGACAATATAAGGATTATGTGGGGATTGCTTCTCCGTATCCCCTACCAACCACCAGTAAGTTAACAGTTGGATGCGCCAATGGAGTTGTGATCTGCAAGTTCCCTGCAAGTACTCCAAAGCAAACTAATCTGAGTGCACTTCTGCTACCGCTCACTTTTGCAGGAAAGGCTGGTTTGCATCTAGCCGAACTGCGCATGCCATCCATTAACAAAGCAGCATACACACAGAGTCCATCATCGATGTGCGGAGTCAGGAATCGGGCCTGGTTGGGCTGGCTTACACCGTTGCAGTGTGCTGGAGGACCATCCGCTGCACCCGGCCACCAGCGTCACGAGCATGTCATGTGGTTGATCTGCCTGCATTCACTTACGGCTGTGGCAAGCAAGGAATGTGAAACGGCAGCCGTATGCAGCCTCTTGGAATGACAGGAAGCTTGGATCTTCGCCGATCCCCACTGGATTCGGATGCTCGCAGCACCACGCCCTGCGCCGAAGCAAGCAGGACGGCCAAACTGGAAACGCAGAAACTCAGAAAAGCACTACATTGCCATGGGGCCATGGGGAGCCCCCCCAAACAATCCCTATCTACCACTCTATAATGCTATAAGCACGCCTTCTATTTCATTTTCCATGTTCTTTTCCATTTGATTTGCAATTCTTGGGCGTGCAAATCTTCAAGTCGCTGGTTTAGGATCTAGCGGTGGTTTACGCTTAAGGAGTTCTCTCGGTAACCAGGACCCCACTACCTGGTACCCCACTACCCATCAAGACCCGAATAAAGAAATAATCTGGCCTCAGTAGTAGTGGGGTACCAGGTAGTGGGGGGGTCCAAAGAGTTCCTAGGACATGTGAGAAAAAAGTTGTGACTGTTTGGGATCTATAGGGACTTAACATCACTAAATCGGGGCTTCCCAAGAAAAGGGGTACCAATCTAGGGGATCCCTAAACCCTAAACCCTGGATCAATCAAAAACCCTAAATCAATCCTAAATCCTAAACCTTAAACCCTAAAAAAATCCAAAACCCTGAACCCGTAATATATCCTAAACCCTAAACCCTTAATAAATCCTAAACCCTAAACCCCGATCATGTTATTTGTTATTTGGGGGCATGTCTAGATTCAGATGCTGACCTCATGCAGGCAGCACGGCAGGTCCGCAGCCCATTGCAACGCTAATCACCTGACCATCTTAGCTGGGGAAAGTAGGGAATGGGTAGTAAGGGAATATAGTACATGCGCAGTTTCTAGGGATTATACATGCGCCGCTGGATGACGGAGCCTTCCTCCATCAACACGACGGCGGGTTTTGAAATGATTTCTTTTGAGTTCGCAGGTTCTGGGCAAGGCGGGTCTTTGCGCACGGCTAAGTAGGTCCCGCACGCCGTCCTCTTGGAATAGAGTGGAGTCTGAAGCATCATCCTTCCATGGCACAGCAGCTTGGCTTTGGGGGTGTGTGCTTTCCAGAGTACACCCTGACTGGCAGTGGGCCGGCAGCAGCTAACTGAAAGCAAGGAGGTGGCGAACAAAAACAGGAGTGGAAGCCTCGGCTTGCAAATCCCAGATCCGCAGCGACTGGTCCTCGCCTGGGTTGAGCTGATATAGGTGTCCTACGAGCGGTATACGTGGGGATTGTTTAGGGAGAGGTATAAGGATTACTTAGCTGCGACTTGGATAGGAGCCGCCTACAGACTCCTCAGAGGAATGATTAGTGCATCATTGCGACACTCTCATACATGATCATTTGCCTTTCCTTGTTGGGCTTTAGGGGCTTTAGTAGTATAAGTGGAGAATACCATATGAGAAGAGGGCCGCGAAAGCTGAGGTGTCGACCAATTTCTTTCAAATGAAGTGCAACTGCAAGCCTTACTTGAGGA